GCGGAGCCATCTCACTAGCCTAACAGGCTTTTTTTCTTCCCATCTTGTGGGTGTGTGAAGACTGAGAGAGGAGTTGTGTAGGTCAGGCAAAGGTGAGTTTCTGGGTTGTGGGTAGAAATTAAAACCGCAAGAAGCCTGGGGCTGAGGAAGCAGATTCTTCAAGCAAGGAGCTCCTGCCTGTGCCTCCTGACCCTCTCGTGACCTCATGAGAGGAAGTCACAGGTTAAGGACAGTGTGGTCCCTGTGGCCTTGACTGTGGCTGGGAAAGAGATTTTGGACGTGATAGGTGTCTGTGCTGAGAGCTAGGGAGTGGGGTGAGAGACAGTCTACAAAAAAGCAAATTGAGCTAGTTCCCAGGATGCCTTGGAACCTGAGAGGGTAAAGAAAATGGGAAGGAGCTGCCAATGAGGGAGGGGACTTCCTTCAATGTCCCTTGATACCCTTCCTCTCTTTGCATCCTGGAAACAACTCCGAGGTGAAGGTCCACCTTGTCTCTCTGGACGGGAAGCTGGACTCTTTTTCCCTGACCAATGCCTAGCACCAGATGATCTTATAATTGCTTTTCCTACTTTGTATTTTGTGTGTGTGTTTATGTGTCATATGCATGTGTTTCTGTTCCTGTGTATGTACATGTGTGCCTGCGGAGGCCAGAGACAGATATGGAGTATCTCCCTTGAGTGCTCTCTTTCTCATTTCTTGAGAGTGGGTCTCTCATTGAACATGGACTTGACCAACTGGGCAGGACCAGCTGGTCTAAGCGCCAGGGGTCATCTCTGCCTGCCCGGCACTGGGATTGTAAGCGCGTGCCACCATATCTAGCTTTTTGATGTCAGTGCTAGGGTTCAGGTCCTCGTGTTTGCACAGCAGGCAGTTTAACTCCTGAGCCATCTTTCCGATCCCCTGTTTGTCCTTACTTTTATTATTGAAGAATAATAAAGGTATAGAAAATTCCAACTATGAGCCGGGCGGTGGTGGCGCACGCCTTTAATCCCAGCACTCGGGAGGCAGAGGCAGGTGGATCTCTGTGAGTTCGAGACCAGCCTGGTCTACAAGAGCTAGTGCCAGGACAGGCTCCAAAGCCACAGAGAAACCCTGTCTCAAAAAAAAACCAAAAAAAAAAAAAAAAAAAAAAAAAGAAAATTCCAACTATGATATTTGGGCAGAGTAGTGAAACAGTAAATTTCTTTTTTTTTTCTGTTCTTTTTGTTTTTGTCTTGTTTAGTTTTTGTTTTTCTTAGACAGGGTTTCTCTGTGTATCAGCCTTGGCTGAACTAGAACTCACCCAGTAGACCAGGCTGGCCTCGAACTCACCGAGATCTGCCTTCCTCTGCCTACTGAATGCTGGGATTAAAGGCATGCACCACCACCACCTGGCTCAGAGAGGTGAATTTCAAAGTTAGGGGAAATACAAGGTGATGTTCCTGTGAGTGTCTGGTCTCAGAATTGGCTTATCAATACATAATCTTGATCTAGTATCTCTCTGTTTCTGTTCAAAGACATCTTGACTCACCTTGTATTGTCGATCTGTTAGCACTGAACTCGCAGCTGTCAGCCCTGTAACTCATGACTGAAGTACCTTTCTGAACACGTGCTCTCTTGTGCGGTGTGGGAAGGCACAGCATAACCGTCTTGCACTTGGGAACTCTGAACAGCACATCATACTGCTCTTTGTGTGATTTTAAACACTGAGAACAGCGGGGTAGGGTGCTGTGTGCCTTTAATCCCACACTTGGGAAACAGAGGCAGGTGGATCTCTGTGAGTGTGAGTCCCAGGCCAGCCCAGGCTACACAGGGAAAGCCTGTGTGAAAATAAAAACACCGAGAACACCAAGAAAAAAACCCAGCATGTGGCACTAAATAGAGACACGTGCACAGAACAGGTTTGAACACAGAAGGCAGGAGGCCTCGTGTTGCATGTCATCAGGGAATATGCACACCAAGGCATTCAGCTTTGTCCTGCCAAATACATATCTCCAGGTAACCACACGAGCACCTGATCCGGGGTTGGGAATGCCGTTTGGCAAGGAGAGCATCCTCAAATGAGTGAGCCATGGGTATCGATTTCCTGTTGAATGGGGAAAGGAAGGCATGGTGGTCTCATTCAGAGTTGGATCGAGTACACAGCCCTATGTCATGTGGGAGCTTGTGTTATGGAAATCCCTGGCCCGCTTTCAAAAATGCTCAGAATTTCGAGATAAAGCTTCCAGCAGACACTGCAAGTCTGAGTTCTGTTCTAAGATTGCTCAGTGGCCACTGGCCAGAAGTGATGGGAAGCCACTAAAGCCCACAAGTGTGTGCTGACCAGGGGTGGTCTGTGAACTAGGACAAACAACCCATCAGTGAATGCTTTAAGAACAGAGCTGAAGTCCTTCATACAGGAAGCCCAATATAAACCCCGAAGCAAGCACAAGGCCCTGTCTATTCTGTCTGCCCTAGAGGTCCCCTTAGCATCTGTCTGTAGTTCCCATGCCCATTATGGGACTGTAGCTGGGGACCTTAAAAGCCTGTGACAGGACTGAGTAAGGTTGCTGAGGTGTCAGAGATCTATAAATCCCCAGGAAGTTAAGTCTTTATTGAGGCAGAAAAATAAAGGAACGATTGACTTTGATTTCATTTGAACTGACATATCTATGTTATCTTGGGGTTGACCTTTTGAACAGATTTAATCCCAGAAGGGATTCGCTAGTACAGCCTTGACCCTGCGAGTTCCTGCTTTAAACTGTCACTTGCAAGGTCTTTGGCCCCCAAAGGCGTCCTTGTGCTGCCTAGGGCCTGTGTCTTCCCCCTCTCTACCCCTCCACAGCCCAGGTAGAGCACAGACCCAGAGCCCTGCCTCCAATGTGGCTGTCAGGTGCAGAGAGTGAGGGTAGAGGTCACGGAGGTCACTCAGGCCCGTGTTACAGAGCAGAATGACTGTCACCCAGCTCTGCCCATACTTGGGACAGAGATGCAAGGGGGGAACATAGGAACCAAGAAGGAAAGAAACGGCTGGTGAGAGATCTTGGCTACTTGCTCAGGTCAGTGTTTAGTGGCGCTGCCTGAGTAGGTCACCTGTCTCACCCCGGCACAGCCTGGTGCAGCTGCAGGGTTCACCTGCTTCTGTGGATCAGCCTGTGAATACATGGGCACACACCAGTACAATTGGTAACATTGTAACCCTGCAGACAGGCAGGCGGGCAGCTCAGCAGGCGATCCCTCTGTGCGTGGAATGGAGTTCTACCAGCATAACCCTGATACAAGGGGAGAACCGCTTTCCTTCAAGCTTAATGGAGTTGCTTTGTGTACCACAGTTTCCATGTAAAGACTGGGAGAGAAAATATTTGTTGTCACAATGAGGTGTCAGCCTTGGGTCTGGTCCATTAGGTTCTATCCTTGAGCCAACCCCAGAGTCCCAGCTTTCCTCAGTGACCTTTTCTGATACCAATGCCCCCTGCATGCTGTTCCTTGTAACTTTCTGCTCATTTCTTTTAATTTTTTTTCTTTATGTATACATGCTTGCCTGTGCACCATGTGTATGCCTACAGAGGCCAAAGAGGGTGACGTAACCCCTAGAACCCCAGATGGCTGTGAGTCACCTGGAGGTCCTTTGGAAGAGCAGTCAGTGCTCTTAACCGTGTAGCCTCCCAGCCCCCTTTATTCTCAGCTGAAAATTTTTAGGTCAAATTTAAAAAATCTTTTAGCTCAAATGAAATTATTCAAGTGCGCAGCATAAAAAATTTGCCAGAACCTGTGCCTTTGGGCAAAGAAGTAACCAGAGTGTTAGGGAGATCACGGACATACTAGATCTGCTGAGGCCGCCCTGGCCCTGACAGGTTACTGATTTAAAACTAGAATGGCAAGTTCTTCTGGTTGTAAATTTAGTCTCAATCAGAACTGCTCCATATAACATGGACAACTGAGAAAATTAAGTTCAGACCCAGAGAGAAAATTTCAGCTATTTCCAAGTGAGGCAGCTGCCTCTGGCCAGCACTCGGTGTGATGGGGCTGGGGTGTATGTGGGGGGGAGGGAAGTGGGGGAGGGAGAGAGAGAGGGGAAGGGAGAGAGGAAGGGAGGGAGGGAGAGGGAGAAAGAGAGGGGGAGGGAGAGAGGAAGGAGGAGAGAGAAGGAGAGAGGGGGAGAGAGTGGGGGGAGGGAGAGAGAGGGAGAAAGAGAGGGGAAGGGAGAGAGGGAGGGAGAAAGAGGGGGTAGAGAGAGAGAAGGTGAAAGAGGGAGGGGAGGGGGGAGAAAAAGAGGGGTAGGGAGAGAAAGGGTGAGAGAGGGAGAGGGGGGTGGAGAGAGAGAGAGTTCAGAGGGAACCCCTGGTCACTAAGGGTAAAGAAATGAGAGGTGAGAGCAAAGACAGCTCTTTAAGAAAAAAGGGAATCCCAGAGGGAGCCTTTGAGGATGTCATGGAGAGCAGGAAAAGAGAAACAAGGTCTGCCAAACTTGCGGGTGCTTCGCACTTCTATGTCAGGTGATGACAGACCTCTGTAAGGAAAGGAAGAAGCATGCAATGATTTTATGCATGGCATCACACCCCACAAAGGGAACACTGTTAGGACACTGGTGTGTTTACCATGTTGAGTAAATCAGGAAGGGGGGAGTGGCGCTGGTCCCAATGAAGACTGCCAAAGACAGCTTATCTGTGCACACACTCTGTCTCCTTCTAGACGGAGTGTCCTGAGAGAAATTGGCCTTGAAATGCATGTTGAGATGGCAGTTGCATTTAATTTTTTTTGGTGGCTCAGATCAGATGGGAGGAGATAATCTCTTTGATGCATCTTTAGAAAAACTAAAGTCTGCTAAAGAAGAGAAATAGTGTCATCAGAGAGGCTTTGGTTCAGGGGGTCAGGGAAAGTGTGGTCTCTCCTAGACCTCACTCCTCAACCCCACCTCCCCTTGCCCCTTGAGCCTAGGCAATACAGTACTCGTAGTGTGGGAGAGAAGTTGGGGGTGACTGAAGGAAAGGGGTGGACTGTCTACCTATTAATAGACTGCTCCCTTATTGCCTTTATCACAGAAAAGGGTCAGCCTCCTGCTGCTACAGGTCCTGGGGCTGATGGGCAACCCACCCCACCCTGGATCACCATGGCCCGGCAGAAGCGAAGAGGAGCCCCAGACCTGCCTGTCAACCAGGAAGACAAGCCTGGGTCACGGATCCTAAAGACAGAAACTGGAAAGCAAACCCAGGTGCGGAGAGAAAACACTATTTCCGTGGAGTTGGGTGCAGGGCGGGGGAGAGGGAGAGGCAGCTTGACAGGGTGCAGTGGGCACCTCAGGCACTGCACCATCACAGATCCTGAGGGAGCATCACAGAGCCTGTGTCTATGGTGACAGCTGACGCGTGCTTGAGGACCGGTGAAGCCAAGTCAATATGTCAGCTTCTAGCTTCCACAGAGGAGCAATCTGCCCTCTCTTTGCCTGTGTGGGCTGTTACAAAGGCAGCGGAGATAGCACCCGTGCTCTGGCCTCCTAGGCAACACAGCTCAGCCTCTGGAAAAATTGAAGACAGTTAAAAAAAAAAAAAAGGCTCCCCTTAGACACACGGTGACACTGTCACCAGATCCATCTCGGCTCATTGTGCAGTGATAAATGAACCCTGTTCCTGCTGCCGCCTGCTGGGTTCCCTTATTCCTCACCTGGGGCTGCACAGCTAAAGTCCCCGGTTGCATTATGTATTCAGCTGAAAACAGCTTCCACCAACCCAAACAACTGTGCTTAGAAGCAGGCCGAGACTCGAGACTCAGCTTTTGTATCACTAAGCAGCACGATAAATGGGGTTCTGCGCTATGGGAAAGGGAGCCTGCCTTGCAGTGGGACTTGTTTCCTTTCCTGCTAATGCAACCCCTAGTTGTACCCAGGGCTGAAGACCTTTATGTCGTGCAGGGGAAGGGAAGTTACATTAGCCCGTTTCGGCTTGTACCATTTTGCCATGTGTCACAAAGGCACAAAGCTAGTTCCAAACCAAATTCAGTTGGCTTTCACATAGAATCCTTGCTGTCCACCTTCTGGGGCCGAGGCTGCATTGTAGGTGCAAGGAAGGAGCCACCATGTGCGTGTGGGCTGGAAGGAGCTGGCACAAGTCAGAGAGAGCTCTGGCATTTTGACGGGTAACATCGGTGAGCGGGTGCACGGAGCCCTTTCTGGAAAGTGCCAGCAGCATGATTCATCTTGAGAGAGACATCCTGTAGCTAAGTCACTTTGGGTGGTTACCCCCTCTGAGTCTGTGTAGTTGGACAGCATGTGTGTCGTTCTTGTGTCTCCATAGGAGTCTGTGAAGCAGGGTGACTTTGTCCGAAGCAAATCTTTCCTGATGACCCCTGCGAAGCCCCCTGTGACCCAGAGGCAGGGGTCAAAGCTGAGCCTTAAGGAAGGACTACAGAGAGGAATCTCGCTGTCTCATCAGAACTTGGGTATGAGATTGGCATGACTTTTCAAATACTTTGGCATCATTATAACCAAATTTTTCTTGCACTTGGGAGTTTGTTTTGTTCAATTGTTTTGCCGTGTTGAGCTGCTATTTTTTTAATGCAGCTTTTATTGAGATAAAAATTACACATCAAAAAAATTTACACATCATAAAACTCACAGATTTTGAATGTGCATTTCCGTGGATGTGTCTTACAAGGAGATCATGTATATTTGTAGAGTCCTGCCGCCCGGTGGCAATCTAAGAACAGAACGTTCCCCTCACACTGGAAAGACACTCATTCCCGTTCGTCATATTCCCTTCCCTGGTTGTGGGTTAGTAATTACCTTATGTCTGTAAGATTTGCCTTTTGGGGAACATGAAATCATAAAACACTGTTTTTGGATGTGATTCTGAGCTCACTATGGTGGCATGTGTCAGTTCTCTCTTTAATCATATTGGGCATTGAGCCCAGGGTCTCGTGCACACAAGACCCTGTATGTGTATATATATATGTATATATGTATATGTATACACACGCGCACACACACACACATATATATATATATTCTACCACCGAGCGACATCCCAGTATTCCCTACATTTTATTTATGTTGCATTCTAAAGACACAAGAATCTAACTCCCCAAGCTGTCTTTAAGCATGTGGTTGTGAAGGTATGAGGCTTGTTTCAATGCACAGCCTACCTCCAGTGTTCTGTGGTTAGACCCTGAACATCCTCAATTCGCTTTGCCACCAGAACCATCTGAGCCTGCTCCTAAGCTCTTTCAGTCACACGCACTCCAAACCTGACACTTACACCTTCACATGTTTACACATGAATGCCTTGTGTGTCCTGGACCACAGAGGAGACCGTAACATATACTGAAAGCTATTCAAGAGACTTGGTGAAAATCCACACTCCTGTCTCCTGCTTTTGTCTGTTTTGTCCCCTTTCCAGCAGCTCAGGCTGCAGCAATGACAGAGAAGGAGTTGCATCAGCTGAAGAGAGCCAGTTACACGACGAGCACCGATCAGCCATCCTGGATGGAGCTCGCCAGAAAGAAATCTCAGGCTTGGAGCGACATGCCCCAGATCATAAAATAGAGTGGCAGCCTGCTGATGAAGGATGTCCACCGCATTGACGGACCACTTAGTTTTAAACTGCCAATAAATCATGGCAAACAGACTGTGAAACTTAAGATTGATTTTGGTCAACAAATTATGATGTGCTGGGAAGAGAGAGGAAGCAGGCAGAACCAAAAGACAAGACAGCCTCCGTCTTGGGCCAGAGGGGCTGCAGCAAGGAGGAACCCTGTAAAAGCTCCTTCCTGAGCTGAGGTATCAGTTCAGAATCCCCATTCTAAAGAGGCCCCAGACAACCCGCGAATGGAAATGAAGAGGGTGCATATGTTGGGTGCCCTTTAAGAACAGAACCGGAACTTCTTAGGAGTCCCAGGTCTGCACTGTCACTGTCATCAGCCTGTGCCTCTGGCCACTGTCTTGCCGTGGGCCATCGTCACCTTTTGTGTTTACTGATAGGCATGACGTTTATGGTACAGCAGGGATGCCGTTTATAAGAGCAGCTACGCAACGATCCAGTTTCCTGAAGACGTCCGCCCCTGAGAAGGGGAGGACAGGACGTGTCAGGGTTTGTCGATTCAGAGACTGTTTCTAAGAAGAATTTTTTAATTTTTCCACTAGGCGTCTGTGTCCTGAACCATTGCACAATGCATTGCCTGTTTAATAAAAGGTTTCAAACCTGCTTCTGCTTGGGGTATAAATGTTATTTCTGCTCACGGGAACGTCCTTAAAACTGTCTCTCTTCACACCTCGCTAAAATCCTGGCTGGGCTGGGTGTTTGAATTTGGGGGTTGGTTGGTTTGTTTTCAATGTTCCAACAGAACATTGGTGTTCTTTTAGGAAGAATATATAGAGGTTTTTCCCCCCCTCATTTGCTCTATGTATCATTGTAAGAATATAAAATCCTGCTATTTATTTTATTTATTTATTTATTTATTTATTTATTTATTTTGGTTTTTTGAGACATGGTTTCTCAGTAGCTATGGAACCTGTCCTGGAACTCACTCTGTAGTCCAGACTGGCCTCGAACTCACAGAGATTCACCTGCTTCTGACTCCAGAATTCTGGGATTAAAGGCGTGTGCTACCACCACCTGGCAGAATTAAAATTCTTAAAGGCTGTCTCTCTTAGTTTGCTTTCTGTCGCTGTAATAAACAGCATAGTGAAAAGCAGCTTGGTGAGGAAAGGGATTATTTTGGCTCACACATCCCAGATCACAGTCTGCTCGGGAAGCCAAGGCAGGAACTCAGAGCAGACATGGAAACAAAAGCCATGGGGAATGTTGCTTCTGAGCTTGCTGCTTGCGGCTTGTCCAGCCTACTTTCTTACACAACCCAGAACCACCTGCCCCGGGGTGACAGACACTGTTGGAAGTGGGTTGGACCCTCCCACATCAGCCATTAATCCAGAAAATCCCCTTACAGACTTGATGCTGGGCTATCTAATGGGGTATTTTCTCCATTGAAGTCTCTTCTTCCCAAATGACCGTGGCTTGTATCAAGTTGAAAAAAAAAAATAAAGTAACGAAGAAATAAATAAATCTAATCAGGACATAGTCGTTCCTTTATAGTCTCTCACTCATCCAGCCTGTAAGTTCCCACTGACAACCGGGACACTAGTACAATAATCAGGAATGCAGATTGGGGTAAAATCACTGGAACAAAAATTCGGAATCTCTTGCCGGGCGGTGGTGGCGCACGCCTTTAATCCCAGCACTCGGGAGGCAGAGGCAGGCGGATCTTTGTGAGTTCGAGGCCAGCCTGGTCTACAAGAGCTAGTTCCAGGACAGGCACCAAAGCTACAGAGAAACCCTGTCTCAAAAAACCAAAAAAAAAAAAAAATTCGGAATCTCAGAGTTTCTATCTAGTTGATGCTTTAAAACAATCCCAGTTTGTTCCTCTCTGCAAACCAGTCTCCATGGGAGTTAGTTCAGCTAGACTCAAAATCAGTCCGACATCACAATATATTGCATTGTAATTTGATTTTATGTGTCCTAAGGGTTGCCGCTTTTAGTCTATTTTCTATCCTCGTGAAAATTATTTTTCTATCTGTTTGTACTATAATTTTATTGCATCTACCTCTATTGAAAAATTCTTGGGACAGGGTTTTTTTTTTTCCTTCCCAAATTGATTTATTAACGACATTCTCGTGGAGAACACAAAATCGGAATTCCACAATTCCGGTAGACTGTGTCTACATAGGAATTGTAAAGCTTCGGCATTAATCGTTTTGACTGGAGATAATTTTATTTGTCTGTGCTTACCCTAAGCCATCATTTCTCAAACAGCAGAGCATGTCTGGGGAACCCTTTGGAGGCAGTGGTCTCACTGGAGGAGCAAAGAGAAGCAGTTCAGTGTGGATTAAACAGAGGTTACCATTCTCTGTGTTTCAGGGTGTGGGAAAACGAAGGCAGTAGGTTTTTAGGACCGTAGAGGAATTCAGTTGGTGGGATGGTGACAGCCTGTAACTGCCACCTTCTGTGTGGAGATTGGGGTCTTCTACTATACTTGAAGAGCTAGAAAACAACCAAGGCTCGGTGTGGCAACAAAGATGGGGAAACCTTGGAGGAATCAACAGCTTTGATTCTCCTGAGAAGACTGAGCAATGCTTGGAGGACGTCAGATGCATCGTTGACGACCCTCTCTTCTGTCCTTGGGGTGAGAACTTATTTCCTCTTTGCAGCGGAGGAAACTGAGGCACACTGAAGCTAAGGCCATCGAGGGCCTACGTTTTGAAACCCTACTGCGAATCGACGCTCCTGTTTTTATTTCTGCTTTTCAGAGCTGAGGCCTAAACCCTTGGGTCACTAGGCAAGCACTAGCCCACTGAACTAAATCCCAGATACTAACATTCCTGTTTTTCTTTTTTCTTTTTTTTTTTTTATTGAGAAAAGGAAAAAAAATTATCCGCCTCCTCCCAGCCTCCCATTTCCCTCCCCCTCCTCCTACCCTTCTCCCCCTCCCCCAAACTCTTCCCCCCTCCCTCTCCAGTCCATAGAGCAGTCAGGGTTCCCTGTCCTGTGGAAAGTCCAAGGTCCGCCCCCCTCCGTCCATGTCCAGGAAGGTGAACAACCAAACTGGCTTTTTAAAAACAGGAATGATCTATTGGGAACATTCCTGTTTTTAAAAAGCAGTAAGTACGGGGTGAACCTTGTCCTCTATGAAAGGGAGCTTGCTGAATGTAACCTTGACAGCTCCAGTGCCTACAGAAACGGCACACGCCTCTCCTCACTCTGTCTCCTTGGTGACCACCTTTGCCCCCATCCCTTAACTCCTTTATCAGAGAAAGTGTTAAACTGTCAGCACACTTGAACAATGTCTAACGTTTCTAACCTCCTTGAAAGCTCCCTATAAGGGCCTCTACCACGGGGCCTAGCCCCCGTGAAAACTCTATTTTTGTGGCACATCCATTTTTCTCTTAATGGGAGGGAGTTACAGTGACTAGACATTATATACGTGACAGTACTTGTTGGAGCAATGACGAGCCTAAACCAGAGGTTGGTTGTAGTCGAAAGGACTCTTGAGGTTGGGGTGGGGGGTGTCTAATTATCTAGCTGATTCTGGTGGCCTGGGCTAAGGTCATGGTCTAAGGAGGTGCATTTGCTGTGGTGTGAGAACAAGAGACTGGTCAACAGGGTTGGCGCCTAAGTTTTGGCTAGAGTCCTTCATTGAGTGGGAAAGTCATTTGCAGAAATGGAGCCTGAGAGGGAAGTCCACAAAAAAGAGGACACCTTAAATGACTTCCCATTAGCACTAAGTAAGCATACCATGTCTTCAGATCAAGTTATAGGTTTGAGAGATCTCAGTTTGAAACAGGACAGAAATTCAGGTCTGAGAGAGGAAGAGGGGCTGACCTAAGGACGCCCCTAACTCGAGGGGCCCTGGGAAAGCAGGTGTATCCAATTTGCCTTTGGAGCAAGAACAGAAAACGTAGAGCAGAGAGAAGAGAGTGTGCAGCTCTCTGGGCTGAGATCTGCTGGATGACATTGGTCAAATGAGAAGAATGGCTGTTGGCTCTGGGCACACAGAAGTCACGGGTGACCTTGATAGAGCCCTTTTCAGGGTCCTACTAGGGCAGAGTCAAGGATGCAGTAGGTCAGGGCCAGCCGGCTTACTGCTGCATTAGCTGGGACTAGCTTTGAAGAGCTACAGGAATGAGAGCAGAAGTGGTGGGGCTGTGTGGCTCACAGCTTTGTTTGCGCATTGGAAGGAATATACACAGCGGTTTACGTGCAAGCGGAAATAAACCTATAGGAGAGAGGAGAAAATCAATCGCGAGGCTGCTCTTTTGGAAGCTTCCCAACTCCCTATGAATTCCGGCAGGGATGAAATGCTCGCATCATGGATGCGATGTGTTCCTGGAAATGGGAGCCTCGTGTTCTGATCCAGTTGGCAGGCAATGGACAGCCAGCCCATTGTGGTGGCAGTCTGATCAAATGCTTCCCTTGCTTGCCCTGATGCTGACCCATTTTCTTTATGTTGGTGCTGAGCTTCATGTTGAGAAGCAGTGGATAGGGTGTTGTCTGGGTGTGGAGAGCTCTAACAGCCCACAACACATTCACTAAATCTGTGGTCACTTTTCCCCTTAAAGACCTAGGTAAAATCCAATTAAATATCAGCAGATTTCATGCTTGGGAGAACCCAAAGCTTTCACCAGAGTTCTTGGGCTACCCCACTCTGCTCTGCACTTGGAACTCCTGCAGTTTGGGGGATTGTTGCTGTTTTAACCCAGAAGGTGGCTCCTTCCGCAGTCTATAGAATTCCATGTACACATGACATCTCTGTGTGTGTGTGTGTGTGTGTAGGTATGTGCATGCACAGCATACATGTATGGAGGTACAAAAGCATATGTATGCATATGGAAGCCAGGGGTCTCTATCGATATGGGGTGTGTATCTTCTTCGCTTCTCTTTTTTTTTTTTCCTTTAATACTGAAGCTGATTGGTTAGGCTGTCTAGCCAGCAAGCTTCAGGGATCCTCCTGTCTCTGCTCCCTAGCGCTGAGATTACAGGTGTGTACCCAGCCCCACACTGGACAGCCTTTGTCTTGATGGAGGCCATTAAATATGGGGTAGCATCATAGTTTTCTGGGTGTGAAGAGACACCGCTTTCTTTTTTTCTCTTTTTTAAATATTTATTTATTACGTAGATAGTATTCTGTCTACATGTAGGTCTTCACACCAGAAGAGGGCACCAGATCTCATTATCGATGGTTGTGAGCCATCATGTGGTTGCTGGGAATTGAACTCAGGACCTCTGGAAGAGCAGCCAGTGCTGTTATCCTCTGACCCATCTCTTCGACTTTCTTTATCTTCTTGGTCCCGGAGGTCCAGCCACCCACAGCAGGACAAATCTCCCTTGGTAGTCTCAAGAGCATCAGATCACCGATGCCACATACGCCACTCCAAGTAGCTAACAGAGAGCCTCTTCCAAACAAACAGCATCAGCTCACTGACAGGAATCATGATGGATGGAACTTTCTCAACCCCGTTCAAGCCTGTCCTTGGGTTAATGCTGAATAGTGCCAACAACAAGATCTGTGTTTCCCAGCATGGCCAGCGTGGACCCCATCTATCTGAGTTGTCACGGTTCTCCAGCCTTTTGTCTTCAACTGACTGTCAACAGCCTGGAAGATCTCTCTGCTCTAGCTAGCTCCCAGTCAGCTCAGAGCTGCGGCTGCTGCT